GAGGGTGGAGGGAAAGTGGGGTAGAAAGGGGGAACCGATTATAAGGATCTACATATAACCTCCTCCCTGGGGAACGGGCAACAGAAAAGTGGGTGAAGGGAGACACATTGGACAGTGTAAGATAGGACAAAATAATTGTAAATTATCAAGGGTTCATGAGGGGTGGGGTCGGCAGGGAGGGAGGGGGAAAAATGAGGATCTGATACCTAGTACTCAAGTAGAAAGCAAATGTTCTGAGAAAGATGAGGGCTACAAATGTGTACAAATGTGCTTGACACACAATGGATGGATGTATGGATTGTGATAAGAGTTGTACAAGCCCCCAATAAGATGATTTTTTTTTAAGTTAAAAAAAAAAACTATCAGCTGCTGCTCACAGTCTGTGCTTGGTACCCACCAGCTGCTCTGCAAGAAAGAGGAAGCCGCCCGCTTCCGGAAAGATTTACAGCTTTGGAAACCTATGGGACCGCACCCCTCTTTCCTCGAGGGTGGCGATGATTCCTAATTGACGGAACGGCAAAGAGTAACGGGACAGAGTATTGATAACGGTCCTGTTCTTAAATGTCTCCTCACGGTGGTGCTTTTAATGCTTACAGGTGACCAGGTCTTTGCTGAGGAGTTCCTTGAGGAGGACCCAGGCCAGGCCAAAGAGGCCGAAATCTTGCTCGACTACATTGAGAGGCAAAGAGATTTAAGAGCCTTGACTTTCCGTGTTAAAATGACCATAGCTAGCATTTATTTAGTATCTTTAAAATTCTACCCTGGTAGATAAGTTAGGGAAAAATACTAAAATTTCCATAAGAAATAGATTCCTTGTTTAAAAAAATGCCAGATTGGTAGTTGGGAAGATATTCATGATGGGATAGGATAATTGAATTATTAATACAAGTTTTGTGTATATTTTTCTCATATTCCCTAGTCTTCCACTTGATGTTCCAAATAGTTTGAGAATATGCCTTCCTGATTCAGACCGCCATGCCCAGCGCAGTTCTTTTCCCTCATTGTTTCTGTCCCATGACCTATGAGGAAGGCATCGATCTCTCCCTGATACTTATTAGGGAGCCTTGGTGATATAGTGGGTTACATGTGGGGCTGCTAACCGCAAGGCCAGCAGTATGAAACCACCAGACACTCCTCAGAAGAAAGTTGAAGCTTTCCATGTGCATAAAGTTACAGTTTTGGAAACCCACAAAGGAAGTTCCACTCTGTCCTGTATACTGTCTCACTATAAGTTGGACTCAATACAGTAAATTAAAACATGTAAACTTACTGTAAGTAAATAATAGAGGGTCAAAGAACTTTAAGACTATATTCTTTCAGAAGTTAATTTGTAGATTATGAGACCAATAAATAATATTAAGTATTATTATTCCTAGTCTTACATGCTAAACAGTTTTCATCTACGTTACTTCCTATACCTCTGCTTCTCTAAATCGACCACATTAAGGTAGGAGGGAGAACAGCGTTGGTGATTTCAGAATTTTAATATTTTGCTCAGTGTAGCCTGAGTGGCCTTCTCATTGGACTGGTACATTTCTGTAAACCCTGCTTGCCATAGCATCATCAACGGAGGTCAGGGCTGCTTTGGAAATTTTCTGCCATAGAAAGAAGAATGGAGGTTTAAGTTATGTGAACATTCAGCTTTCTTCCTGTGCTGGTAGCACTGAAGTGAGAGTCTGCTGCTGCGTGGAAGGGCAGTGCATGACTGCGTAGCAGGAGCACCTCTTGACCCCCATTCTGGCATCAGTTAGTGTTTCCTCCGTCGATGAGCCTCCAGGCAGTCTGCCCTGCTTCTCCCCGAATCCCTTCTCCTTTGGGGGTGATATGATAGAAAAGAAACCTGAGAAGTTGTAAATTCACCTAATAATCTTTCATTCTATTCTCGGTGACTTGCCCTAAGACTAACTGGATTTAAAACCCAAACCAAACTCCCTGCCACAAGCCAATGCTGACTTATGGTTACCCCATAAGACCGGGCAGAACTGCCCCCGTGAGTTTCCGAGACTAACCTTTTTTCTTTTAATAAATTGGGGCAACGTTTACAGAGCAGATCGTCAGCGTCATTGTCAACAATTCATGTTTTGCTTCAACTCACTCATTGCAATCCCTCAATGTACTGTCACTTATCCCACTTCCTCTCTGTTTCCTGTTTCCTTGCCCTTTCCTACCTAACCGTCTGGACTGTGCCCTGGGTAAATGTTGCCCTTTTTATCTTAAATGGTTAGTTATTCTAACACTGCGTGAGTTCAGTTCTAGACTTGAAGGGGACTAAGGGCCCTCATCTTAGTGGTTCCATCAGTATCTGTTGAACAGTAAGGCTACACTTTTTTGTGATGTTGACTTGTTTCACATTTTTCTCTTTGTCTACCCAGAATCTTGTAATGTGACCCCTTTCAGAGAAGTTGGGAGTAGTAGCTGGCCACCATACAGTCTGAGACTGTAACTCTTTACGGGAGGAGAAAGCTCATTCTTTCTTCTGAGGGACACCTGGTGATTTCGAACTCCTGACCTTGCAGTTAGCAGCCCAACACGTAACCACTGTGCTACCAGAGCTCCCTAAGACTGCAAGATAGGATAAAAGAATAAAGGATAGGATCAGGTTCATAGCCAGCAGGTTTGAGTTTTATATTTAGGCTCCAAAATGATGATAACTACAACAAAAACCGACAGGATGTTTGGAAGGAATTGAAAATGCATATTACAGAGTAAATGACTCACTTCTAACATGTTATGTAACTACATTTAGCTGGAATTACACATTTCTAACCAGCTTTCTTTTTTGCATTGCATTTTAATGCATGATAAAATGCACTGGCTGTAGGTTCAATGAATTAATGGCACTTGGAAAATATGGAAAAGCAGCTTATTTTGCAGCAAACAGTCCTAGAAGAATTCTTCGAAACATTAGTACAATGGCTAAATTTAAAGGTAAGCATTTCTACACACACACACACACACACACACACACACACACGAGGATGTACCCAAAAAAACCTTGGAATTGTGTTGGGTGGAGTGGAGCTTTCGTAGTGTGCATTTTCTCCCACTAGGCGAGCATTGAGCAAATTCGCTCTTAGTGCATCCAGTGGCATCGCCTAGGAAGGTTCTTTTTGGTCACAGTGAATTTTTTCATAAAAGCAGTTTCTCTCGAACCTTGCTTTTTGTGATGGCCGGTCTAAGAGAACAGGATGCAGCTGTGAAATGTTTCCTGCTCTGGAAAATGCCACAGAAACTTGTGATGTCGAACACAGCTTCCAAGGACAGTGCTATGAGAAAAATTGAAGCGTACTATTGGTTTTCTTGTGTCAAAAAGGTGAAATGTTGATTGATGACAAACCTTGTTCTGGGCATCCATCAACTTTGCAAAAGGATGGTAATGTTGACTCATAGTGCATGTGGAGTTTGTTCCAACAGGTCAAACTATTAATAAAGCTTTCTATTTAGAGGTTCTGAAAAGATTGGGTAACAGTGTGCCACAGTAAGACCTGATTTGTGGCAGACGGGGGACTGGTTTTACCACCATGAAAATGGTCATGCAGCCATCTCAGTGTACCTATTTTGGGCAAAAAACAGCATGCCTCTTGCCCCACGCACATTCCTCACCTGACCTCACTCAGTGAGACTTCTTTTTGTTCTGGTGATTGAAGAGGGACATGAAAGGACAGAAATTTGACAATGTAGAAGAGGCGAAGGAAAAACAAGGGAGTCATCCCAACATACGAGTTTGAAAAATGTTTCTTAAGAATGTAATCTCAGATTTGACAAATGGAGAGTACTTTGAAGGTGATAAGGTGTGTTTTTTTTTTTTAAATCATTTTATTGGGGCTCATACAACTCATCACAATCCATACATACATCAATTGTGTAAAGCACACTTATACATTTGTTGCCCTC